AAATTTAAAAGTTTTTGAACACCTCAAATCTTGGTTGATAACTTTGCATAAAATTTGCAGATTTGTGCAGATGGTAGATAAAACTGGATCTGTGCAGGTATTTCGGAGGCCTAACTGCACTAAATCTGCAAAATACCTGTATTAGGTACTTTGAATTACTGTGAACTATCGTATTCTGTACTGTTTGTTACCACCTATAAGATGGTACACAAGGAATTCAATAGGCTTTTTTACACAGAAAAGGCGTTTTTTAGAACTTTGAATGATCTAAAGTTGTAATTATTTTAAGCTGATGTAAATTGCCATGAGTTAAGTTGTGTGTTAGATTGTGTGTCAATGTACATTATGTGTCAATGTATCTTGTGTGTCAGTAAATCTAGTGTAATATATGCTAAGTGTGTGTCCCAATAAACTTAACATTTGCTAGGATTTCTAGTTTGATTCACATTTCATAAAATCTACTTTGGTATAAAGTTGTGCAGGTGATAATTTTCAATGTTACCTGCACCAGTGCAAGATGATTAATAGGTGACAGGTGTGTAGCGAAAAATGTATTTCAAGCCCCTGTATGATTATATTTTTAGTTTATGACGATTTACCACATTTGTGGGAAGGACTGACATAACAGGTGACTATCACCTCTTCAAATATGTCAACCCCAAGACCAGACTGTAAGGTTTGAACAACTCACACAGGGAAGGTCTCCTACGCTTTTCGGTAAGTGTGGTGGGTTCTTTAACGTGCGTGGGGTGTGGCTCTCCCAAACACGGGAAGTCCATTTAACGTCCGATTCGAGGGACGTCCCTAGCCGAAGCTAGGTACTCATTTACACCTGAGTGAAGTGAGGAAAGTCGTGTAAAGTGCCTTTCCCAAGGCCACAAAGATCGGTGGCATCGGGCAGGATTCGAACCCTCGCCCTCTCGAGTTTGGGCCAAAGACGCTACCGCTACCCCGCACGACCCCACAAGTATGACAAGTCTATAGTCAGTTTGGTCACGTAATGGTTATGTTCACAATTTAGCTATGGGAAAACCACTCAGGGCGAATTGGCCGATCGGCTCGGTTAATCACGACTGCTAAGTTTGGCACTAGTTTGAAAAGCACTTGGGGACCTTCTTTATCTGAAGTTAATGGAAAATGCGCCGCGGCAAAAACATTTGTACTGTCATTGATATCTGATGAATGTAGCTGTAATTGAAATGAACACGGAAGAGCCTGATGTGAGCAAGCGATAACTAGTCCCTGTCATCATTCATTCTTTTTTGTTTATCCGCTAGGGTTTAGGTGTTAGATCATAGCAGACTTAGTGTCGCCTACTTAAAAAATATTCTATGAATAACACATTTTTGTCAGATGTTGGAGTTGTCGTGTAATATTTTAAATTGAAAGGTACATTGCTCGAAATGATGTACACTAATAAATGATTCTTTGTAGCTATATGTGTTATGTTTGAATTAAGGATCAGAATATAAATGATAAGAAATTTTATTGCAAGTACTTGCCCGTTGCCTAATTGCAAGTATATGTTACATGAAAATAAAGGATGGACAATGAACAACAATATAGTATGTTATTAATATTGATATCGCGTCTTCACAGCGAGTAGAATAGCCGCTTTGTTTATTATTCCTCATTATTGTTTTTTTTTCTTACTAATTGTTAGTAGCAACTTGTACGTTTGTACGTATATGTAGCTTTATAGAATACATGCATTACTACGCTCTAAAACATTTTTAATGATTCGTGTCGCATTTTAACCACTGTATGTGTAATATAGTAATTTTAATGTGTAAATCAGTAATTCCCCTGGTGTGTCGTCGTGTGTACCGTCCGACGGTGACCGCTTTTTGTTATTTTGGACAAGGGTAATTATGTTTTAACTAATTAGCACATTCTGCAGTTGCAACCAATTCAAGGCCCATGCCCTGCGAGATGTAACAAGTGCACGAAGAACAATAGACCAGTATCATTATGGCGCCAGATGTTGTTACCAGTGCTTGCTGTTGTCGTTTTCTTTTTAGAGCACTCTATGAATTAATCCTCAACTCATTTGCTTCCTAGCTGTGAAGTTAAAATCTGTCTGACATTTAATACCTTCTGAACAAGTTGCTAGCAGCAAATTAGATGATGTGCTGCTCTTTCTACGTGTACGGTTAGGCGAACATCACTACTGCCTTTCTTACGCTTTTTGGGTGATGTAATTCTTTACCGTCTCATTGCATTCTATACATCGAGAGTGTGTTAGTGACGGAATATGAAATATTCCCCAGATCAGTAGACATTTTGGCAGTTTCAAAGTTCGACTCATCTTCTGAAGATTTTTTTTTATTCAGAAGCACAGTGATGAATACAAAATAAAAGGACATGGACTAAGTGACTGCGAACTCAAGTTAGGTACAACTTATATTCTAGCAGCCAAGGAGAATATTTCATATCGATCTAGGCCCACGCACAGCGATAACTTCACCACATGTCATTGATTGATTTCATATGATACGCAGTAACTTGCAAAAGATGATGGTGATACATATCCTGGAATGATAAATGCACCGTTCTGGTTTCTGCGTAACAATTTCTTAAAGCATCAAAAGTTATCCTTATTTATTGTACATCCAAGGACACCCCAGCTATATGGCCGGCCAGTTTTCTAAATCCAAATTGTGTTGGAGTGATTATTTGAGGCACATCCATTCACTGTGACCATTCTTGTCTGTGAAAGAAATATCAATCAATCTGTTTCTGTCAACCACGAGACAGCCATCTGAAGAATAATTGCTATTTTTTACAGATAAATAATTTCTATAGTGCTGTGGAATGAGATCTATATCATTTAGATATAAGAGGATATTCCTATAAAAATTGACAGCGTTGAATGAGTGACTAAGCTATCTGGGTATTGTTCATTCATATGAGGCCGCGATAAGCGAAAATTACAAAAATCCCCTTCATATCTGGGCCTCAAACTTGCAGGATAACTTTATTGATCAAAGTACCAAAGCCAAAGCGATTATATGTCGTCTGACACGAAGACATACTGCACTCTTGGTGACGACCTGCCTGCGTTATGTCGATACCCTACCAATAACTTCCTGTTTAATGAAATTACTCATCTAACCATACTTATCCCGGGACTCCGCCGGATAACGAAAGTCGTGTTGATCTTATTACTCGATAAAGTTGCTTTCCGTAAAATGTAGTCCTGGCGGTGGCATAAAACCGACGAACTTCTAGTTGAAGCCAATTGCATCGTCAATCTAACAGAAAAACGCAGTGTTTTCTATTATATGAGATTCCCTTGCGCAAGGAATGGAGGCCATCATCAAACTGGTTCCAATATAAGTGGCCGCCATGACGTCACGGCCAGCTATAGTGGTAGGTAAAATAGGGCGGCGGTTGGTTGATTTGCATACCGATAATTTGCATATGCCTTCAAATAATTTGCATGTAACTGATGTAAAAAAACAGCGATCACTCAAATACTTTAAATAGACTATGCTGTATTCCAAAACGTGTTTCATTCCAAAACATATTTTTGAAGAACATTAAGTGGAACGCATTTGTATTTCAAAACATGTGGTATTCTAAAAAGTGCCCCATTCCAAAACATGATTTAGAGTACTGTGAAGTGGAATGCATCTGCATTCCAGAATGTTTTGTATTCCAAAACTTGGTCCATTCCAAACCCTGTGTTGGAATGACGATTTGGGGAATGCGAGAGCTCGCCGACCAAGGCTGTGAACTCGTTTGCCAGACTACACTGACTTCCTCTCAGTAAACTTTGACTTTTAAACAGCTCGGATGCCCTTAATACAAGAAGACAATTACAGTCACCTTGACCTTTGCCTCCGTAAATTTCAATATGTATGACCTTTTAGTCCACGGGCCTTATGAAGCGTTAAAATAACGATCATTAGGGCTCTACCCGGCGCCCAAGGCTCCATTCCTCACAGGTCTGGACTTAATGCCTGAGAAATTGTGGAACCGTGGCGCCAGCTGCCGTCTTGGGAGGAACCATCCAAGCAAGCATTAAAGACTTAATAGGTGTTGTCTTAACACAAAATTTGATAATATTGTACATTCATTACACAAAGCTGCAAGTATGTGTAGTAAATACCGTGATCAGTAACACACACGAATGCCGGCAGCAGGCTAAACCTATCTAGAACGTAATCTACGTGAATGTCACGATGGAGATTCTTGAAATATTGTAGCTGAGTCGAGATTGAAAGCTCCACTCTCGTAAGTATCCATCGAGTTTTTCGGCATGGGTAACAATAATTGCTGCGTGTAACGTCATCATCCGCCCCAATAACCAGCAATCCTGAGATGGCAGGCATCGTTAAAATCGCCGCACAATCTGCGGCCCACCTCTCCACCTGCTTCTTTCACCGCAGCTCTTTTTGAGCCCATAACGGCCGCCCTGAAAAGTTAACCCCGCAGCTGCTTTTCACAGTTAAATAGCAGGTCCAGCTTCGAGCTATCTAGCTGCCTTAGCCACGCTACAATACATTGCTCCCAAGCGTATAGATAACATGTGGTTCAGCCCCCAAGGCATAGTTACCGTATGATGGTATATTTCTACAAGCAGTTATCTCTCCAAAGCATCGCAGAGAAGGATAAAAGTCACTCTTCATATATCCATTGCCACAGCAGACTAAAGTCAAAGCAATCGGTGAAAGCCAGTTCTTTGCTTGTGTTTAAGTGGCATATCAATAACTGAGGTACGGCGAAGAGTAGAAACCCGAACAGAATGTCGATAAGACTAAAGAGGGAGGTGAACAGAGCAAACGAAGATGTTTGCCGATCTGTGACTGCAATAAACCCTGGCGGTTCTCATAATTGATGGATTAGTGAAATGAATTAACAATTCGGTTAACGTACCAGGGCAAGCCTGCAATCAATGAGAATCACGCGGTACGAATGAACAGTAGAATTCCTTAGTAAATAAAACAAAGCAAATGGAGAATTGTGTGTTTCTTCATGGTAGCGCCAGTGCTTACCTACAACAGTGAGCCTGGCATCGCCGGCGTCCCGTACTGTGAAGACGCTACACCGGTAGTTCCCCTCATCGCCAGGCTGGACATCACGTATCCTCAGGTTGTACTCACCCCGCCGTGAACTCCCCACGATAGAATGTCGGGAGAACTCGGAGGCAACTCGGCCTCTGGCAGAAATGTGGTACAGTTTGTCGTCCGTTTCGGGGTTGTACCAGTACCAGTTCACCACTTCCGAAGGGGTCAGGCCGTTAAAAGCACAATACAGCGTGACGGTTTGATTCACCAGTACCCCGGTAGATTGTGGACGTATTCGGTAGAAGGCAGCGCTGGCGATGCGCAGCATTGTCAGAAGTAGCAGAGAATATCGCAACGAGCTTGCCCATTCCATGTTGGTCCTCTGCATCCTTCCCTACTCGAAGCGTTGTAGCAACAGTCGCCTCCACAAGCGTCAATCAGCAACTGGTTAGCAGTGCAGGGGTGGTTGCTTGTATCCGTAAGCCCTTGGCATGTACCACTTTCCCATTGGACGGAAACCGGAAGATGGCATCATCGCTTACTACCTTATGCGTCTACTTCTCCTTGAGCGTTGCATGACGGGTGTGGTAACGTGGCAAAGATATCGTCTACATGTAAGCGAACCTAAAGATGGAAACACATGTACTGCCATCCAACGTAGGACGACAGAGAGTACAGAGGGACTCTCTGGAACCAGTTTCTATTCGTGTCACGTCTGTGCTACCGAAGCTTTTATGGAGATTCCACATTGGACCGGGCTGCCATAATGTCGTTTCCCTCCGAGGAGCAGGTCTCCCTGGAAGACCTACGAAATGCAGTAGCACGGGTTTCTGTAAGCTGGGACAGAATTGGATCAACCTCTTGCACATTGCGCAGCATCAACGGCTTATTTCGGATGTCAAAAACCTCAAGGAATGAGATTGGGCGCTTATCGGCAAGGACATTTCGGACGAATTTGGCGGTAGACAGTGGACCAGTAATGCGGCCATTTGAGTCCACTACTCAAGCTGGTATTGGTACATATGGTGACAAATAACGAAAGCCAGCTTTTGTGGGATTACAACAAAAAAGGGACGAAGCATAATGTAGTTCTTTGTAATCTCCACCACAAATGACCCAGAAAGCGTGTAGAACATTAGCAGTCTGCCCCACAAAACGACGCGTTCCCAGTTAACCCCGACCTGAATTTAAAGTCAGTAATTAGAATTTGCCTGACGCCACCTGCAGTGCCAGCTTGGCGGCGTCGAGTTGTGGTATAATAGCCCGGGAATATTCTGCCAGGGGCCAAGCACACGAACACATTCACAAAAGCAATTGCCCCCATATATTTGATCCCAACACAACAGGAAATAAGATTTGTCGCCTTGTTGGGGAATGAAAAGCGTTTTTCAAAGGCTGAACTAAGCCTTGAAATAGGAATTTCTAATTCCGAATGCCCTAGATGAAGCCTGGTGCGAAGCGAACGACTTCCCTTCTGTAAGCGGGATAAATCACTCGGCACCGCCTTCTGTACGATATCTCAAATACCAAAAGGTTAAAGCATGAACTTCCAACCCCGTTTTCGAGGGCACTTGTATCTGTAACTATTAAAAGGTGAAGGTGGGTGCAACACTCGATTAGTTTGTTTGTTTTAATACTATAAGGACAGGGGACCGGGAATAGCCTCAATGGCACATGTGAATAATACAAAAAATCACAGAGCAATATACCATGAGTCAATGTGTTTTCGTATTGCATTTGCCATTTAATAATTTTCTACATCTGAGTAGTACTACCATCAATTACATCACCCAAGCTAATTGTTTCCAAAACTTTACACAGAAATTATAGATTAGGAGGAAGTATTAAAATTGAAAAGAAATGCATCGTAAGGGTTTCTGAAAGAAAAATAACTAAAAGGTAAAAATAGAGAGGGCCGTGTTTTAGCAGGAATTATTAAAATTGACAAGAAACGCATCGTAAGGTTTTGTAAAAGAACAAATAATTCAACTGACAGTAAAATACATATCTATGAACCGAATAATGTTGCTGCAATACAGTCCCAAACATTTTACACAGCCTTCTCCCTCTAATATTTATACCTTTCGCAAGCTTTGAGGTTTATAACTTCCACTGGCTTTTATGTCTATGTTTATGTCCCACTGGCTAAACAAAACAACTGACAAGAAAATACACATCTATGAAATGAGTAATGTTGGCTCAAAACAGTGACAAACATTTTATACAACCTTGCACCATTTAATGTTTATGGCTTTCATGTTTATAACTTCCACTGGCTTTTATGTTTATGACTTCCACTCGCTAAACAAAAAACTGACAAGAAAATACATATCTATGAAATGAGTATTGTTGGCTCAAAACAGTCCCACACATTTTAAGCAACATTCACCATTTTATGTTTATGGCTTTTATGTTTATGACTTCCACTCGCTAAACTAAACAAAATGACAAGAAAATACATATCTATGAAAAAAAATAGTGTTGGACCCAAACAACCCAAAAAATGTACATAACCTTCTCCTTTTATGTTTATGACTATCAGTGGATAAACAAAAAATGACAAGAAAATACATATCTATGAGAAGAATAATGTTGGTCCCAAACATTTTACAGAGCTTTCTCCCTTTTATGTTTATGACTTTCACTGGATAAAAAAATGACAAGAAAATACATATCTATGAGAAGAATAATGTTGCTCCCAAACATTTTACAGAGCCTTCTCCCTTTTATGTTTATGACTCCACTGGCTGAACATTACATCGCAGCAGGCAATACGCACAGCAGAAGAATATTGCTTCGCGCAGCTGGGGTGATGTGTTATCGTGCCTCCTAAATGGACGTCTTGAAGGGAGAGTCTACTCACGGAACCGACATTACCCACATTTGCACAGAAATTAGTCTTAGGAACTAGAACTATGAAAACAAATGGCACAGTAAAAGGACGTATTTCTTTCCTAGCCATAGTAGCAATCCTTCAGCCCCTATACTCGCATCAATTATAATTCATTCTTATGTTGTACAAGACGTGTGTAGAGTGGGTTTCAACAAGGTTAAGAGGAAAATATGAGTGCTAATATGGGCAGGCCTAGGGCTGCTTTATAACAAGCTCACTAATCTGTACTTTCTCTGTATTAAAAAAGATCATTGGTAAATTCTTCCAAAATAGGAAAGTTGCCCAACTCATTTCAAGGTTTGCAATGGTATATTCCCAAACATTTTATCGTTATGAAAGAAATGAAGTCTCAACGAATTGGCGCCACGGTTGTAGTAAAGACCAGAGTACGTTTAACCAATCCTGGATTTATCGCATTGTATGGCAGACAATTTTCTCTAATGGTTCCTTTGAACTCATCCTTACATTACCCCGTCCGTCGTAACCGAGAAATTGAATGATGAAGATAATAAAACAACATTCCACTTCCAGTCTGTGTCCCTCGTCCATTTTCTGTGATGCTAGATATCCAGACTTTGATTGCTGTTGCAAAACATATTTTTTTGAATGGACCACGTTTTGAAATATAACAGACTTCCACTTCCGAATGATGGCACGGCTGGACCACGATTTGGGATGTTCCATACCGTGACCGACCACGCTACCAATTGCAAGCATCAGGAGTCATGTGTAAAATGGGTCACCAGGGACCCCGTCTTGTACCTGTCAAGTAAACCTTGTTTGCCTTTCTTTCTGCCTGTGCATATGTATGTTTGTATTTAGACTAGGGTATAGGTTCGATCCAAAATCTCACGTTTTGGAATAAAACAGGGAATTCGCTTCGTCTTATTCCAAAACATAGTTTGGAATGGACCATGTGCTGGAATATAGATACATTCCGCTTGGAACTATTTCACATCATGTTTTGGAAAAGGGCATTCCAAAACATTTAAAAGTACTCTCTAGCTTGGAAGAAGGTATAGATATCTATTTTATAAAATACAGTTTGCCTTTGCTGGAACTGCTGTCTTTTTTCAGATTGGTTGTCCCCTTGACTCCCCAGTCAAAATGATATACTGTGCCACTGCACAGTACGTTACGCCAAAAATGCTGAAATGATGTGAGGATTTCCTATTTAGTATTCTGATACAGAAATTGGTGCTGAGACGACGGATGTGATTTAGTTTATCTCCATCAGACGATGCCAAACTTTGAAACATAATCAACACCAATTTCGGTTCCAAGCCTGTCTGCAAGCATTGGTAAACGTGTCTAGAATGTTCGCATTAAACATAACGCAAAACTATGTAATGTGACCGCGTTTGGCCCAAGATATTTAAAAAAAAATACGCAGAATATACTACAAATATTCTATACTAAGATTCATAACATTTTTGTGTATTCTACTCTAAGGCCATGTTGATTTGATTATATGGATGACATCCTCCGGAAGCCCCAAAACTGATGCGCGCGTGCGAATAAAAAAAGTTCTTTTCATTATGAAATCTACGTGGTCATGAGGGTTGAACAAATGGCACAGAATATGGTTTGGCGAATAATCTAGTCTTCAAGTTCATTTCTTTACAATTTCGTCTTTTTTCGTTTGATTTTGGCATTTTTCGACATTGGTATAGTTTTTATTAATTTTTTTTTTGTAATTGATGGTATATTTTTGCTCATTTTGCAACTGTTTTGTACGATTTACAGTATGGTTGAAAACTTTTTTTTGGAAACGGCCGAAAATTCATGCGTGCGTGGATGTCATCCATATAATCAAATCAACATGGCCTAATGTTGATTATAAAGTAAACAAGGCTCAAGAGATTACTTGTTGAAAATGTTCTAATTATATTCTTAACCTTTGTCTACACAACCACAATGGGACAAATTCATTCGCAACACTTTTCGCAATCTTATTTTATAACATGGCAAATTCTTCTGAGCCTCATTTCGTTCAAAAGGCGATGGAGGCATCAGAAGCAGAACTTATTTGAAAGGTCAGATGCGAGAATAAATGAACATTAATGCTCTTGTTACTGATACGTGCAGACTAGATGGTTTTCTTAGATAATCAGCCACGGTATGTCAGAGCTGAATATTTCATTTAACTTAAGTTTGAAATTTATTTCCCGGAGAAATTAACTTATGTATATATAACGGTAAGATTTATACTGTAAGGCCACACCGACTTAATTTTATGGATGACATCCGCGCGCACATTGATTTTCGCCTGTTCTCAAAAACATTACGTCCTTCGAGGCTCTAGGCCTCTAGACTAGGACTCTCTTCCATGGTAGTTAGTGACAATACGGAGCCGGTTGTAACTCTGGATCGGATGGCACCCAGGCTACCGAACGACGGCAAGAACTCGTGACGATTCATACATTCCGCAAAAAGCCAGCATGTGTCGGCTTGTCGTATACGTCGCTATGTACTGCCGCTAATTCACAATGCCAGGTTTGTATTCCTTTGGTAAATTAGTA